GTTTTCGGCAAGACTGAAAGCTAGATGCGTTTTTTCGGCCCGGCAAAACGCATCTAGACCTCGTGGCTGGCAGTCGTGTAGCGGTAGTAGTAGTGGTAGCAGCAGCAACAGTAGTAGTAGTCCAGTAGTAGTAGTAGTAGTAGTAGTAGTAGTAGTAGTAGTAGTAGTAGTAGTAGTAGTAGTAGTAGTAGTAGTAGTAGTAGTAGTAGTAGTAGTAGTAGTAATAGTAGTTAGTAGTAGTAGTAGTAGTGGTAGTAGTAGTAGTAGTAGTAGTAATAGTAGCAGAAGTAGTAGTAGTAGTAGTAGTACTAGTGGTAGTGGTAGTGGTAGTGGTAACTCGCCCGGAAATTTTTGGGCTTGGCAAAACGCATCTACACATCATGCTCCTTCCGTTCCTACGCTTGTTTCCGGAGTTGGCCCCGGACCATGGTTTTGGCAAGAATGACGGCTAGATGCGTTTTTTAGGCCAAGTAGTAGTAGGACTGATACTAGTAGTTGTCGTAGCATTTGTGGTAGTAGTGGTCGTAACAGTGGTAGTAGTAGTGGTAGTAGAAGTAGTAGTACAAGAAGTAGTAGTAGTAGTAGTAGTAGTAGTAGTAGTAGTAGTAGCAGTAGTAGTAATAGTATTAGTAGCTCGCCCGGAAACACGCCAGATGCGTTTTTTGGGCCCGGCAAAACGCATCTACACGTCCTGCTCCTTCCGTTCCTATGCTCGTTTCCGGAGTTGGCCCCGGACCATGGTTTTCGGCAAGAATGAAAGCTAGATGCGTTTTTTCGGCCCGGCAAAACGCATTTAGACCTCGTGCTGTTTTCGTGCTGGCAGTCGTAGTAGTAGTAATAGTAGTAGTAGTAGTAGTAGTAGTAGTAGTAGTAGTAGTGGTAGTAGTAGTAGTAGTAGTACTGGTGGTGGTGGTGGTCGTGGTGGTAGAGTAGTAGTAGTAGTAGTAGTAGTAGTAGTAGTAGTAGTAGTAGTGGTGGTAGTAGTAGTGGTCGTAGCAGTGGTAGTAGTAGTGGCAGTAGTAGTCGTAGTGGCAGTAGTCGTACTAGAAGTAGTAGCAGTAGCAGTAGCAGCAGTAGTAGCAGTAGTAGTAGTAGTAGTAATAGTATTAGTAGCTCTCCCCGAAACACGCCAGATGCGTTTTTTGGGCCCGACAAAACGCATCTACACGTCGTGCTCCTTCCGTTCCTTTGCTTGTTTCCGGAGTTGGCCCCGGACCATGGTTTTCGGCAAGAATGAAAGCTAGATGCGTTTTTTCGGCTCACCTCGTGCTGTTTTCGCGCTGGCAGTCGTGTAGCGGAAGTAGTAGTAGTAGTACTAGTAGTAGTAGTAGTAGTAGTAGTAGTAGTAGTAGTAGTAGTAGTAGTAAAGTAAAAGTAGTAGAAGTAGCAGCAGCAACAGCAGTAGTAGTCCAGTAGTAGTAGTAGTAAAGTAAAAGTAGTAGTAGTAGTAGTAGTAGTAGTAGTAGTAGTAGTAGTTAGTACTAGTAGTAGTAGTTGTTGTTGTTGTAGTAGTAGTAGTGGTGGTAGCAGTGGTAGTAGTAGTGGAAGTAGTAGTAGTAGTACAAGTAGTAGTAGTAGTAGTAGTAGTAGTAGTAGTAGTAGTAGTAGTAGTAGTAGTAGTAGTAGTAGTAGTAGTAATAGTATTAGTAGCTCGCCCGGAAACACGCCAGATGCGTTTTTTGGGCCCGGCAAAACGCATCTACACGTCCTGCTCCTTCCCTTCCTATGCTCGTTTCCGGAGTTGGCCCCGGACCATGGTTTTCGGCAAGAATGAAAGCTAGATGCGTTTTTTCGGCCCGGCAAAACGCATTTAGACCTCGTGCTGTTTTCGTGCTGGCAGTCGTGTAGTAGTAGTAGTAGTTGTTGTTGTTGTTGTTGTTGTTGTTGTAGTAGTAGTAGTAGTAGTTGCAGAAGTAGTACTAGAAGTGGCAAGCGTAGTAGCTATAGTAGTCTAGTAGTACTAGTAGTAGTAATAGAAGTACTAGCAGTAGAAGAAGGAGGAGCAGGGCCCCGCCACTCAGGCCCATGCGGTGGACAACGACGGGTGACGCATGCGTTTTCCGGACCCGAATAAATGCATCTGTGCGTTTTGGCTGAAACCGAACCGATTCGATTCGATACCGATAGCGATTCGAAACCGGTCGCGAAAGCGGGCCGGCCATCCATGTTTAAAGGGGTAATTGCCCAAAAGCCCAAAATTTGTGGGGTGATTTCCTGTTGTTGTGAGTCGCCCAATTATGTATCTTGGCTCATACCCGTACTTTCACAAGTGTTCTTGATCATCTTCATCTAAGGCTTTGGCCTGGTGCCGGAAGGAAGGCACATGAATCAGTGGGGCCCGATGAGTGAAGCAGATGTCAGGCTTTGCCCGGCCTACTTGCCAGTAAGGCAGCTGCTTCCTAGTTGCGAAAGTGCAAAGCCTTTCAGCCCCCGCACTCCTGCGGGATATACATATTCAGATCATCCTCAAGGCGCACATTGTTTCCATGACAACCTGGGGATCTCCTTTTGGCTGCTTGTCAATAACAAGGAACCGTACCATACATGTTGCTTTTGTGAAGCAAGTTGACATTGCAAATCTGGAGGCGGCTACACCGAGCAGTTCTTAGACAGGTGCGCGGCATATGATTCACGCACGTCGCATGTGCTCAATTGCGCGGCTTGCTTACTGTTTGGCTGGCCAAAACATTAGTTGGTGTACTGCTTTGTGTATGTAGCTTGTATGGCTGCAGAGCTTACAACTCGGCCAGGACAACAGAGACTGCACCAACAAAAGAAAGGCTAGATCTGTTCCATTCAGTGCCACCCGGTTGATTGGCTGTGCTAGTGGCAGAGTGGGGAGACCTGGCACTTGTCAAGGTAGGTCAATGCGGGTACCCTGCATGCATCCCACTGAAATCTGTGAGGTACAAGAACTGCCGCGTCGAGGAGCCGAAAAAGGAGAAGTTCGACAAGCGCCTGAAAGGGTGGAGCTGACATGTGTCAGTTTTATGGATCGTTTGTGGGTTTGTCCTCCTTGCATGTCCGCTGGCTCCAAGCCAATATAGCCCCACTATGGCTACTATGCAGTTGTATCAACAAACGGTGAATTCCCATTTTTACAAGGCAAGCTCCCTGGCACAATGACCATAACGTGGCCAAGTCCTGGGAAATAGCCCCGTAGTGAAATTGGAAGGGAAAGCCCTGTATTTTGAATTCATTCCTTGGTCCATGCCATTTGTGGCCATGCCATTTGTGGCCATGCTGTGTGGCAGGTACAGGTGGCTTCCAAGAGGGCCACCGTTTGTTTGGCCCAGTGGTCCAAAAGGACGCGAGGGGAAACGACCTGCTGGCTGATGTTTTGTTGCAACCTCTACGGATTCAGCATGGTTAACCGCATCATTTTGGTCCGCCAAGCATGACAGCGTCATTTGCAACGAGGTGAAAAATCCTCTCTGTACCCATTCCATATCGAGCTCGCCAGGTCGGTGGGGCCGGGTACCGGCATGGAGTACATGGCGCGCTGGACCGGCCTGGCCCTTGGGCCTTTGGCGCCCGAACCGAAGAGATCATCACCTTGATGTGGCTATAAATGGGATAGCCGGGGTTAGTCCCCTTAGAACCGTATAACAAACTGTCTAAGTAAGTGGTTGAAGTATTCTCCTCCAGTACTGTGGACGGACACAAGCCGCTTTGCACCAGTTGGTTGGCGGTTTGTCCCAGCGTTATTGCTTTTGTTTCACATAGTAATGTCAGGGTCTAAATGATGTTGTCAGGACCTGGTTTGATCTGGCTGTAAAGTCCCACACACACACACACACACACACCCGTTCCAACGGTTTAGTGAGCCACAGAAGGTGATCAAATCTCAGGCTAGAAACTTGACTTCCTTTGGTATCCCTTCCACGGACTTTACCAAGAGCCATCATGGGTGATGAGTTTGATTGATTCATGCTGATTTTGCCTTTGCTTGTACATATTCAACAGCAGGGAAAAGGGGGCGGGGGCGTTTATCAGGGTTGCTCCGACCCTAAAAACACTGACCACACCACACGGGTTCTTGGGAGGAAGCCTGTTCATGGTTGTGTGCCTATTGATTCTAAAATCATCCTGGATCGCATTTATTAAGAAGTCCCGTTTTACTCCCTCTTCATCATGGTTGAGTCATCTGAAAGGCGATTCCTATAAACCCCCATGATCCCTCTGCCTTCTGTTGTTTTTGTGGAAGCTTCCATTTCCAATCTAAGAAGTCAGCTGGAGTTCACCCGGAACAGTCAGGGCCTTCAAAAGCCTTTCCCAAGTTCAGGGGTTGTCTATTTAGGGGAGCCTCAAAACGGGGGGGGGGGGGTGGGCCGGGGGGGTTCCCTTTGGTTCGCTTTGAACTAACCCCAGGGAACCAAAAAAGACCAACACCCTCATGGAAGCTTGGCCCATGGAGTGTTTGTGCTCAAGTTCGTTGAGTTCGCGCTCAGGTTCCAAGAACTCCTTCAACTGAACTGCGCGCAGTTCAAAGTCCGAGCATCCATGGAGAGTTTGCTCCAAACAGGACCAGAAAATCTCAACAAAGGCCTGTTGAGCAGTGTGGATGTTGGGAAGACCCGTGTTTCCCGCCCTGCAAGAACAACAGCGGCATGCAGCCAAACGTGCTTGGATTGAAAGCGTCCTCGTGGTGGCTTCATTTGTATGCTGTATGCGATATGTTGGCTCCCTCACTTCACTTAGCGACAGTCACAATTTGGCAGAGGCCAGCTACGTGTGACTGTTGATGTTGGGACAAAGGTGTCGGGCAACCTTGAGGGAAACAAGCACACCACTCACTGTGCATCTTGGGACGCGTAGTGCGCTCTCTCCTGATCTCAGATGCCGCTCGAATGAGCCATGGGGTCATGGGATCCCTCACTTTTTCTCGATGTGTGGAAGTTTGCTTACATGTCGATTCCTTCCACCACGGAATGTCGGGTAGGTTGTGTTGGCCTTGGCAAAACCAAGTTATTGCAAACAGACGAACAGGGACTGGGCTATTTCTGCTTGGTGTCTTGTTTTCGCGTTCTGAATGTGACTTTTGCATCAGCGCGCAATCGGCGTTCCGCCATGGATGCCTTGGTGTTACACCGAGCTCGAGGGCTGCACGTGCTGAAGTTGGCGCCCGGGCGCTCGGTCCGGTTGAGCCCACCGAGTGCAGAAGTCAGCGGGTGGGAAATTGCTTTTGGGGGTTCAAGTTGGGGCCGTTTGGAATTTGTCATTGGTTGGACTTGTGGGCGGACATCACTTACATTGGGATTTAGTGCACCAACCATTGTTGAGAGTGGGTCCGATTAGGCTCCGAATGGCTTTGCGTTTCCTGTATCTAAGCTGTCCTTTTGAAAACCCCAAGCCGTCGCCGGCTAGTGGTGTCAACAACCAAAACTCGGGACATCAAGACAATGCAGATCATGCTGCAGCCGAGAAGTGCAAGAGAAGGCCAAGTTCTAGAGCAAGATAGGTATGTGTTTTCTGGGGGTCCCCCCTTTCGGTGGCAGTTAAAGGGGGAAACCACAAGGAAACCAACCATTTGGGGGAATCCCCCCTTCCATTTTAATGCATGCTTAAAGGCGTGTCCACTGTAGAGGTGGGACCCTCATGTTTTGTTGTTCTGTTTCTTTCATCAAAAGCGGGTCCCTGATTTTGGGCATGGCAGATGCAATGTTGCATACGTGAGTTGATTCGGAGAAGGCGAAGGCAAACGTGGGGTCTGAAAAAGGGCTCGGTTGGGGTGTCCTGTGGCTATAGTTTGATGTTTGATCCATCAGTGCTTTACCGCCGGGGTGGATGTTCCTTCGGGTTTGGGGGTTTCAATTGCACAGACCTGGGGCTGGCAAGGCAGGTCGCGGAAGTTTGGGGTGCAAGACGCATTCTCACTCAGATTGAGGGGTCTGCAAACAACATTGCTTTGCTAGAAGACTTGTTTGCAATAGTTTCCATGGATATGAATTGTCGATAGCTTCTTTTGGTGTGTGAAGCGTGAGGCCTGTTGTTGTGATAGCGTTCAAGCGGAGATCAAGCGGAACAAGCATCTATGGCGGAGATTCTCAAAATTTTGGGAAAGTCAGTTGCACCATCAAGATCATTCCATGCGCACGGTGCCCAACGGCAATTTGCGGAAGCTCAGGATCCTGGAGCTGGTTTCCTTTGGATTAAAGCAAGGCCAAACGGGTTTCTTACATGTCGACCGTAGGCCTTGCGCCCAAAGGGGCAGCTTTTTTGGATTACCGGGCTGGGCCCGTTGACTATTCCTCTGCAAATTGGCATTGAACCTAAAACGCCATGATGTTGTGTAGCAAACTCCAGACACCCGGTGGTGCCCTTTTCTCCTCGTTTGGGCCGGGGGGGCCGGGTGTCCCTTGAAACTTAAGTACCAAACAAAAAATGGGGTTTTGCTTCCACTCAGGGATAATCATGTCATGTGTGTGGTGTAGAACCCATGAGCATGCGGTTTAATTAGGGATCTTGTGCACCTCATCTTCAGGGATTCACATCCACCGCTTTGTGGCTGGTGGTCGCCGGTAAACAAAACACACGGCCATTTTCAGCAACCCCCCCCCCCCCAGCCTGCTTTTTGGACATCACAACGGGTGCTGGACATAGTATAAAGCGGTTCTTGGGTGCTGGTTCCCATTCAACGGGTCAACCCACTTAGGGCGAATCCTCTGGCTTCGATCGAGGCTGCGCCTGGCGTTCCGGGTCTTTGCACCCGAGGCAGTGATACGAGATCAACCAATTCGACCAACGTGCATATGTCTGGGTGTTGATGTGCGCAGATGTAACCCTCAAGCTCCACGATAGAGCTCACGTCACGATTGTTCTATTCGAGAAATGTCAGACTTCACATGCACACACACATGCACAAAAACACACAATGACAGAAGCAAACGCAACACAACTCGCACGAACAAACAAGCAAACAAACAAACAAGCAAACAAAACAAACATACAAACAGACCGGCAGGCAGGCAGGCAGGCAGACGGACAGACAGAGACAAGCCAGCCATCCAGCCAGCCAGCAAGCAAGCAGGCCAGCAAGAAGTCAATAGCACAAGACAACAAGACTAGGTAAATATCATGGATTGCATTTCATGTTGAGTTCGGAGAAAATGCAGATCGCACGTTGCAGGTGTTTCTGCGTCAATTGGCCGCCCTCGCCACGCTGATAGTCCTCCGTCATTCGCTGGGCCCCCCAGCCTGAGATAGCACGGGCCAATGTGACGGGCGGCCGGGCGTGTCTCAAAATTTACGGAGACCAGAAGATAGATGTCATGTTTGCTTCCATTGAAACCAACCAAAAAGGGGTCCGTCGGAAAACAAACGGACACATGTGTCCATTCAGTGCATCCACAGAATTGGGTCACTCACATTGTCACATACTTGAGGAAACAGGCATGTTTACCTGGTAAATCTTACGGCGGCTGGACAGGAATTGACACCCTATGCTTGTGGCCAAGATGCGGCTCAGGCACGACCTGGCCAAAGCCTTCAACAGATGACCAACACCCAGCAACACCCAAGTCGAGTAAAAACAGTTTGAGTGATGGGCCAACCGTTGATCTTTGTGCCGGGGTCTGCGTGGCAACCCTGTCAACAAGCGCGCTATCTGGCAAGCGCCCTTCCCCCACATGGGCGTTTCCGGGCATTGGGTACCAACCGAGTATTGGTTGGTTTCCTTTCGCGTTTCCTTTACAAATCATGCAAAGTTCCAGCCAGTTGTCAAACAACAACAAATAATAATGAACGGCCACTTGAAATGCATCCCCTTCATGGGGGAATCTGAGCTTGGAATTCGCCAACCAGTACTTCTGTTTGCTCAAGAAAAAGGTGATAGATTCCCTTTAAAACCAGTTCCTCTTGATTTACCTTGAAATCCGCAACAAAAAGGTACCCTTGAAAAAAGACAAACCCGCATGGCCGAGGAAAGCGTCCAAAAAATGAACACATCCGCCCCCCTCGGACCTCCAAACCTGTCCCAAGGAAGCCTCGAAGCCGGGATCAAAGCCAGCCCACCCGAAGCTTCGATTTGGGCCGAATCCTTCCTTTCAATCAATTTGCTCTTTCATCAATTTGCGGGGGAAATTTTGAGTGGGACATGCTATCAGCTGCTATCAGACACTGGCCTCTAACACGACTGTGCCCACACGCCCCAAATAGGTGCACGAGCAAAAGAGCGACAAACGCCATCGAACAAATACCGCCAAAACAAGACGTAACAACCTGCAGGACCAAACATAAAGTCTAAAGCAAGGTTGGTCGCAGCAGCATGCGATAGCAGCTTCATTTCAAGTAGAATGGAAAAGGTGGTTGTTTGCAGTTTTTAACAAGCTCTGCAGCTGAGTTACCTTCAGCAAGCTCGAATCCTTTTTCCTGAAGGATGCAGTTCCGCTCTCTCCCAGGCAGAATTCCTTAGGCTTAGCAATTGCAGTTTGCAATCTCAGCTTCTTGAACCTTGTGGAGCCAAGGGACAGACTTATTGGAGCAAAGAGGTTGCCTGCAGGTAGGGAGTTTGGTACGCTGATGGATGACTGAGTGATCCAAACTGAAAACGCTTCCTTTCCTTAGGGTTTGCCATCACAAGCCTGTTAAAACAAGGGACCCCTCCAAAACAGGGTCCCGAAAAGAGTACGATTGAAAGTCACCTTTGCCAGCTGATTTACTGAATCCACATGTAGAGAAGGCGGTTTCTGGATGTGTCAATGAAGGAACCCTATTCCCCCGCCCAACACCGCTGACTGTCATTTGTTCCATCGCGCCAGCCCTTGAAGGTTTTGGCAAGCGCGGAAATGGCTGCGATCTCTCGCCAGCCGGATGTCCTTTCTGCGCGGCAACAAGGCACGTTGTGATCTGTTTTGCCGAGGCAAGCACCGTTGACCGCGCTGTGGGCGAAAGAAGGAACCCTTCAACAATTGTTCTATGCACATTGGGGGGTCCTGTGTTCTTCAGAAGGGAGTGAAAAGAAACTGCTAGAAGGGCACAAGGATTGTCGCCAGCTTCCATGAGTCAGGTGACATCAGCTGTTTAAGGGATACAGAGCCTCGTTTCGTGAATGGAAGCATGTGGCAACATGGCATCTTTGCTTTTCACGAACATGACGTCTGAGACTTGACCGCAATCCATTGAATAATCGTTGCCCACTCGGCAAGGGGTTTGCAAGGCAGAGACCTGCGATGCGATGAAATCCTTGCCAACCGACTCAGAACTTGCCCGAATAAACCCACACATGTTCTATCAGCGACAAGCTGTGCGGAAAGCCAAACTAGCTTTCCAAATGGAGCCTGCAAACGAGAGGCAACAATTGAGATTGGGACTTGAACAACGACACAACTCATCAGCAAGGCCTTTTTTTCCCTTTTTTATTATTTTTTTTTTGGGGGGTTCTTTAAAATAGGGGTCCCCCTTTTGGCTGGTTTGAAGAGAATCCCAAAGAGAAGCCCACCATTTTCGGGGGTCCCTATTTTGAGAAACGCACGACGTGTACGGATCGAGTTGCCATGCACTAGGTGAAGGTGAGGCAAGAGCTGCGGCTGGCCAGAAGGAGCGCCATTTGCGGGACGCGTTCCACCAGCTTCTATACATAGGGTGTGTTGTATTAATTATTTGTGTAAAGGTGCCTATGTTAGAGATGCTTTATAGAGGGCCAAAGTAAGCCAACCTTGGGGATCCTATGAGACGTACGGTATGTTGCATTTAGGTTTGACTCAAGCCTTTGAGTTTCCGCTACGTGTACTTGACCAGCAAAGGAATTGTTTTTTTGGCGAGCCAATGCTGCAAGGGGCAAGCATGAATATTTTAATCAGTAGTGCTGCAAGATGGAGATGTGTGAGTGCGTGTGTTTGTGCGTGTGTTTGTGTGTGTGTGCTGTCTTGTAGCTTTGCCAATATTGAGCACGTGTGCATGTGTTGCTTGCGCCCGTAGGGCAATGAGGAGGGACTGGGATGTGGAAAGTTGCGGTTCGAACATGTCACAAGCCTAGGGGTTGTTCAAATTCAGTCGCGCCAATAGGGATCCAAAGGGAATCATGTGAGTGTTTGGCACCCAGCACTGCGCAGGAAGTGCAAAGACTACGCATCCTTCCAGAGCCTTGGGGAAAAGTTGGACACGATTGAAGGTAAAGACAAGTGGAAGCGCCCGGGTCCCGGTGACTGGCCACTTAGGAGTCGGCAGACCTAGCCATCAAGGAGATGAGAGAATGGCGCGAATTGTTGTGATAGGGTTTTCATTCATCCCGACTGGGTGCTGGATTTGTTCATCCACAGCACCCAATCCCCCAAGTTTAGACTAACGCACCAATCTCGCCCTTGCTGCAGTCTTTTCTTTCCTTGGCTTGCGTGAGTGCATGGGTACATTGCAATGCTTCATCCGGCCTGTGTCAGGCGATGAGATCTCCACGCTCTTCGACTCAGACCGTTTGAGCACCTCAGATTGCTTTGGATGGTTCTGACACAACCCCGAACATAGAACATATCAGTGCCTTCCGTTCGCACAAGACTCAAGAAGTCTCGGGCTGTGTTGCTCTGTCGCTTTGTTGTGTCATCAGACTGAACTGCATGCTGAGGAGAGCGAACGAGGAAGTATCAGCAAATGATGGCTCTGCTGGCATTGCTTGCAAGATTCTTGCTTCTTGCTCCAGCCTATTTGCAGCGTTGTTGGCCTTTCCAAGGATTGCGGATAGTCCAGGATAGTTCATTGTTCAACACAACAACGCAGAATCAATGACAATATGTTCCAAGTGACAGCGTCCCCAATACTCAAACGTCCCCACATGTCCCCACATGCAAACCAATACTAAACTTTACTAAACTCGATTTCTTCCACCCACCTTTCCTCCAGTCGCATTCAGAGGATGGTCAGACCTACAGAAGCGAAGCACACAGTTGGCAGCCCAAATTTGGAACAGGGACCCCTAAAAATAAAGACACGTGTCTGAATTGGGGGGGGGGCTTTCATTTTTAGGGGGAATCATTGAGTGGTCGAACCAGGCAAGTTTACATGAGTAGCCTGACAAAAATGATTCCATGCACTTTGCTCATTGGAATGTGCTCTCGGCCAGGCAGAGAATGACGTGGATGCCTGTATGTTTGCCTTGGCCACAGTGAATTTGAGGAGCTTCTGTTGCTTTGTGTGCAGAGTAGCAGAGACTCGTTGTTGTCTTCTTGCCACACGTTTGCTCTGGTTCCGAAGTGTTAGCTGCGCGACAGCTTTTGTTTGATTTCCAGATAGTGCTTGCTTCTTGAACACAGTGACACAACTACGAGAGTTCACATTGGAAGAGGCACTTTGCGCTCATCTCATCGTTATGTGGCAGCTGTGCATGTTGAATCTTAACTCCAGACCTGCCAGAACATGTGTTGACACTGTTCTCCAGTGCCACCCTGACTCCACATGAGTTGGATTGTTTTGGTGTCCTTCGACAATTCAACACAACCAGACGTTGTTCTTGTTTTTCCCTGATGGAGGCTGGGCAAAAGAGGTGAGCAGAACTGCCGTGTTGCGTGGAAGGTAAAACCCCTGGTCACATCACGCGTTGCACGTTCTCAACTCAGGCCTTACGAGGCGAGCTTTTGCGAAAGCACTTTGGCATTTGCAATCCCGCACTCTTCCAGGCACGTGCGTGTGCGCCTTCGGAGTCGCCTATTTGTTTGGGGTTGGTACCCCTTTCCCTTGGTCTAAAGTCTAAAGGGAAGCCAAACAGATAAATGCCAACTCGCATACGCAACCCGAGACAGCGTACTCTGCCCATGAGTTCAATCGCTGTTTGTCAAGCTAGGCACCCCTCGAAATGATGTGCTTTACGTTGGTTGTCTTCAAGAGGGATAAAGCGTCAATGCCAACTCACCCAGTGAGTCCATTCCCCTGTACTGCATCGTAGTAGGCAACCAAGGGAACCACCCTGGATAGGCCAACATGAGAATGGTTGGTTACCTACGGTGATTCACTACCCCAGGCATTGCTCAAAATGCTCGCTGGACACCAGTGTGCAGCTGGCAATCTCACCGCGTGATTAGATTGGACAGCGCCTGATGTGTGTTGAATGACTGACCCTCCCCCAGGTACTCAGGCAAGGTTTCTCTGGAAGAACGGACTCCCCCACCAAACAAAACAACTTGATATGATAGTTGGGCAGTGGATTTGTTATGCACTTTAGGCTTTAGTAGTTAAACAGGATTATGGCAAGTGTGCAGCAATTGTGCTTCCCGTTTCACTGGCACAGCTCGTGACCTCATAAGAAGTTCGTTCTGGGGTCTCTTAGTTCTTTTGCCTTGATTCAGTAAAATTCACCCATCTAGAACTCATTGCTTGCTGGATGGTCAGTTTGTCTGCTTCATGGAAGGCCGCTATGACCCCTTCAACAGCCCGATTCATAAGTAGAACGGCCATGGATGTAATTCGGAATATCACGCTGCATCTGCGTCTGCACACCTGGATGTGCAATGTTGTATGCGGTCTGTGCTCCATTTGTTCAGGGACCCTCAAAATCCATTGTTGTGATGGGTCCTCAAATCTGGAATAAAGCAACCAACAAGGGTCCCCTGTTTTGACGGCAACTTGGGGGGTGGGATTGGCTGAAATGCACCCTTGTCTGTTTGCTTTCAGGTGACCAACACAGGCACGAAGACGGTGATCGAGCAGTATGTGGCCACGATTTGTGAGGTGCCACCGATTTGGTTTGTCACGAGCTTAAGGGCAAAGCAAAAGGACACCATAGTTGGGGTTCCCGCATTTTGACACATACCCATGTACATAGGTCCTTGATAAGCAGCGGATTTTGGAACTGTCGTAAGCTTTGCAGATAAGGGCGAAGTTCCTCGCAATTTCTCGTGACAGCCAGAGGCTGTCCCAACACTTTCAGCAAAGTGATCCACAATCTAATATGCCAATGCCCCAAATTCTATCAACACATATCAACACCTTGCGTGCTGTTGAAATTGAGCTAAAAGGCGTAGTGGTTTGCCTGAGCCGTGACCTTTGTCCCCTACTTTTGGGGAGGGAATGGTAGGACGTTGTTTCGGGCCAGGCCCCGTCCTGCCCAAATGAACCCAGTGGCTTCCCTGACTCTGGAATTGGGTGCCCCTGGGACCAGCTAGAAGTTTGATCGGGTCGCTTCAAGCATTGCGTACGTTTCCCTTGGCGTCGAGTAAAGCTGGAGGAGCCAGCCGCTGTGCTTGAGCAATCCCATGTGATGCTCTTCAGCGTTTCAGGCGGAGCCCTTTGCAGACCCAGCGGATAACACCTGGCATCACAGTCAACGCATCCCAGCCTACTGTACTCCCCTACCAAACGATGTCATGGCTGGTCTTTGGTGTGACCCAATCGCACCCAAATGAGAGAGTCTCAAAACAGGGGGGCGGCCAAAATAGTGGTTTTCCTTTTGGCTTTCCTTCACCACAAAGCAAAGGGAACCCTCAAACAAGACACACCCAAATGACTTCTCCGCTAAGCCTGCGCACTGCAGACAGTGATCGGCCTTTTGCTCAGGGGGAAGTGCAACCCATTGAACAAGGTGGGGGTTGGGCGCCGACTGCGCTTTTTCGCCAGGCGATGGCCTGGGTTGGCTTCTCCTACGGCGCATCCACAGATGCCGAAGGAAAGAAGGCAGCGGTTTGCTTTTCGACACGGGACCTGTCACTGGTTTGGCCTGTTTTGGGTCTTGACCTCCCTCTGCAGCGGGTAAAACAGAAAGGGAGGGGTCAAGTTGAGAGCAAGACCAAGCCACAGATGCAATGTCTAGCCTCGCAGGCAGCCATCACCGAACGGCTGGCCTTTTTCAACGAGAGCCTGGCCTGGAGAGCAAGGGCACCAGGGGACGCCATGGCATGCTCCATTTAAGTCCAGAACATACTTGTGTGTTTGCCAGGGGGGACCCTGTTTCCACACCGCTGGGTGTCCTTTGGTTTTCGCGGAGAAAGGAACCGAGAGAGGTTGGGGTCGCGCATGAACCAGCGGTGCGTCAGAGCCAAAAGAGGGATGGCAACCAACAAAGATGACCGCCTTGGACGGTGGAGCGCCAAAACAATACACGATTTGAACAGCAGCGCTACCTGCCATTCAGCTCCAACCATTATATAAGGATGCATCTGGTTCAAGGTACTACTAGAGGGTGCTAGTGCCTCCAAACCATATTTGGCCCACTACAACTGGCATATGGCCACGGAGGGGGTATGGTTTCCAGTGCATTGAGGGTTCCACTCTGTGGGTAGACGACAACCTAAGCCTCAACCATCCGAGCCAAGCAAGTGCCAGCGACCAAGCCAGCCAAGCAGCCATGCAACCATCCGAGCAAGCAAGCCAACCAGCAGCTAACCAAACCACCCACCCATCAACCCGACAAACCGGCCAACCCACACCAGCGAAAAGCAACACGTGCGCAGCGCCATGAAATTTGCTTGAAGCCCATCCCTTTTTTAGCGTCTTTTTTAGCGTTTCTTTTTTCTTGGTTGTAAGATAGCCTGGCTGGATCGGTACATGTTGATTGATCCTAGCCAAATCTGCATGCTGATACTCTGCCCATGAAAGGTGGGGAAGGGGTGCCCGATTGATACTGTATGGATCGACCACGCATCGACTGCCAATTGCCAAGGACGAAGCATGGCTTTGGCAGAAGCGCTCTCCTCCTGTCTGGCGGAGCGTCGGTTCGCTGCCAAGACGGAAAGCGATGGGTTGTGACTGAGCTGAGGCAGCCAAGTAGCGTGGGCAGGTTCTAGCGAGGCGCCAAAGGTTTGCGAAACCACGACATGTGAGGTAGATTAACATTTTTAGTTTCAACACTGTGCAATGAATTGTGTGAGCCCAAGATCAAGGTATCGTTAGGGCGTGATCGAGATCAGATATCTTTGTCTCTTCGTTCAACTTTGGGTTGCTTGCCTTTGATGGTACTGCGCCTACTTCATGCCGCCACAGGATGGACTTAAGGACCTCCCGGAGGTGAAGTAACACTGATCAAAGTCTGCATTCAGAAGCTGTTCATGATTGGCCTGGTTTCCGAATTCGTGCCCTGCAATTGTACCATTGCTTACAGCATCACGTGCCAGAGGTGGGCATGTACCACTTTGGGGTCGTCAAGGCCTGCATCGGGATGGAATGCGGCGGGAATTGGTTCACCCGAGCAGGAATCTTTCAAAGTGATGTATTGTCTTTTCGTCTCCCTGGGATGCCAACAGTAGCTGAGCCGGGCCATCTTGTGAGGCTCAGGTAATTTTTGCAGTAGTCTATGGCCAATTTGGGAGAGACATAATCTCCACCGACACTACGGTTTTCCCACGTCCATGTTGGGAATCGCATATTGTCACCTTGGGTTGTATCAGGGATTGCACACCTTGGTACAGAGCACGGACCAGTTGTTGAATTCTTACAGAGATCTTGCCAGGCAGAAGGCCAGTAATAAACACCAAGTGCAAACCACACCTACACTCATCATAAACGTTATGCAAGCTCACACAATCCTGAAAAGCCAAGCAAAATCCGCCCGAAACCAAGCCCAACCTGGCCCTAACACACCGCGCCAATTTTAGGTATTCGGCAGATGTCAGCTCCTGAAGCAGCAATCTGGTTGCTTTCGACATGGATTTGGTCAAGCTTCCCACAGAGCAATCCTTTTGGGAGCACATCTCTCCTGGAGATCATTTTTGGCTACGGAAGGAGCGATTGGACACTTGCATGAAATCCCTCTTCTGCTTGCTGCAGTCAGTGGGTCAATGTAGCTGACCTTATGACTCGTTGGTTCTCCATTAGTCATGGTCCCAAAAATGGTCTTTTGCCTTCTTTGCTCATGCTCAAGTTGCCTCTTTATGGGGTTCCTGGTTCACAGGCAGGGTTGCTCCTATCCTTGAACACATGATACCATGCCACGGTTGGAGAATTTGTTTGGTTTGCTTTGGAGTTCTGGCCAATATTTCTACTCTTGTAGCAGAGTGTCCGCAACCCTGAAAAGTACCATGGACCACTGGGGTGATTTCTTGTTTGTTGTCGCTTTACAGCCCCACCCCACGACACAAATCGAAAGGAGACCCCAGATGTGGCTGTGGTTGGACCCCTCAAACATAGGTGTTTCCCAAACTAGCGGTCCCCAAACAGCTGTTGTTCTTTTGGTATACATTTCCAACAAGTGGTTCCACCGCTCACGTGGGCAACGTCAAGTCGCGCCTTGCGCCAGGCGCTTCACCTCAACGGCCTGCTGCCGCGGGTGATGAGCGGCACCTCTGCCGGCTCCATCGTGTGCCTTCGCGGAAAAGTCGGCAGAGTCCACGTGTCCTCTCCGAAACGCCCTTGGCAGCTCCAAAACCAGCCCGCCCGCCGACAGAGCCTATGACAGACAGATCTGACAGACACATCTGACAGATGTGACAGCGACAGAGCCTGTGACAGACAGCTACGACAGAGCTGTCACAGACAGATGTGACCGACTGTGATACAAGGGTGCAGCAATGGGCGCTGTAGCTGAGGCCAGCGAAGCTCAAGTCACAGCGCGAGGCTCCCGGCTGCCGGCATCGGCCTGTGGGCAGGCCTATGTGTCAAATGATGGCTCACTTCTGATAAGGAAAGTAGCCAGGAACATGTCTTCCACGAAAATGGTCCAAACCACAAAAGTAAGTAAGGTACAGGGAATCCATGACGGTGAGTCCCTAGAGTTTGGGGTCCAGAGGGTTCCGGAGAAAGTTGCCCATGGTGGGCTTCCTTCCGGGCTCCCTGCAAGCTCGGCGCGCTTTTGCAGCCGATATTTCAAGGGGCCACCCGCGTGGCCGGGACAAACACAGCTGCGCCATCTCGAACTTTGAGGCTTCCGGTAGTTGCTGGGCCAGGACAGCCGCGACGGCTTTGAGGCACCCGCCTGCCCGAAGTTTCAGCCCGGCAGTGGCGTGTCACAGAGCAACTTGCACAGAGCAACTTGTTCAGATCAACTGCCCACAGCCTTATACTCAAAGTCAGCTGCGCAAACGCCGGCCTGATTGCGCAGAGCAACTTGCTCAGAGCCATCTGCACCAACGCGTGCGGTCCGGCAAAAGTCTGGGTTTATAGTCTGGGGGGGAATAGTCTACCAAAAGCTGGGTAGAAAATTGGGTGTGACAGGTTGGGTACCATGGGTCGGGCTCTTGCGCAGAGAGGTAGCGTAGAGGCGTCAGGAGGTAAGTAAGCTAAGGCGGGTTTGGCGTGGCCGATGTGTGCAAACAGCGGTTTCTGCGCTCCGGGCGCACGACCCTTTGCGGGGATCGCCGTGGTTGATTTCTGCTGTCCCTCGTGCAAAAACTGAGGAGACTGCGGTCTGCTCTGTGCGGAGCATCAGCGTGGTGTGCAAAGACTCCTTTGTGACTGCGATTTTGCCATCCCCGGATCAAGCCTCTGCAGAGCGGTATCGCTTGACCGCTTTTGCTGCCTTCTGGTTTCAATCATGGCTGCGTCCTTACTGCTGATCTTGCGAAAGGAACGCGCGGACCAGGTGCAGAGAGCGCATCTAGAAGAGGCTACATGGACAGGAAAGAGCGAGTTTCCTCAACACGGCTTGAGGTTAGCGTTCTTGTCAACTCTTGCCACGTGGCAGTCGAACGCGCACAGACACAAACAGGTAAAGGCGCAGAAGCGCACAAAGAGACACAAGCAACCGCGAGCGTGCGCAAGATGAAGGAAACAAACAAGTGGCGCCGCATTGGCTAGCTGCGCTGGCTGGCTGGATGCTGAAAGTTTCACGTCCCAGCGAGCAGCTTCCTTATACGCAGTCAAGGTTGCGCTTGGGTGGGTGGGCGGGTTGTGAAGGGGTGGCTTTCCACAGCCAAGGAGCTGTTGGACAGCAAGGCATCCAAGCTCAAATGCCCGTTGGGGCAAGACTTCAACAGGTCTGGGTCTTCTGTGCCGCAGCAACGCAACACCGACTTGCAAAAGCTGACAGTGTGGCTGCCAGACACAGACAAGTATCTTTCTGCGCCTGTCACAGGGGCCAACTTGCCCTGGCTCTGAGCAACCAAATCCATGTTGGCTTGCAGCTGCTGGCTTCGCTGGCCGGCGTCTGCAGCTGTCTCAAAGCAGATGCAGCTGTCCAGCTTTGATAGATCTACGCCGGCCTTGAGCATCATGTTGCCCTTGCGATGGACTTCTCCAAAAACGAGCACAGTGCCAGCTCTGTCTTGAGGGTGCACCAGCACCTGGTCACAGTGCAGGTGCATCTGCTGCATGAGGCTATGCTTCTGCAACAAGTCCATGATCTTTGACACTTTGACATTCAATTCTAGCTTTTCATCCTCTTTCAACTTCTTCAACTCAGAAGCAACTGAGCTGTCCATGGCTCGGACAAGGGAATGTGAGCAAAGCTCACTGCAAAGTTGCCACAACCTCTGCCTGCATGTGCGTGGATTGCATGGCATGCGTGGTGACCACTGATCTATTCTGAGCCGAGCTACACACAAAAGGGCGAGCAAAATCTTGCAGCCAGCCGGATGGTGCGATTAAACGTTGCAACTTACAACTTTTACATGAGCCTACCCAGGCTGCGCTCGCATGAGCCTATGCCAGGCTGGCAACTTGCAAGGCCAAATAACAGCACAGAACATGTGAGATGCTACCAATACTTTGGAAAGAGAACACCGTGCCAAAAAAAACGTGAGCCTTCAAAGGCTATCAGTCTGTCTTAACAGCCTTTGAGACTAAAATATATATCCGTGAAGAACCAAAAGTGAGCAGACAACAGGCATCCAATAGCTGCAAATAGCACAGTCAGCCAAATGCATGCGCGCAGCCAATCAGGACAAGTGTATAAGGCTGTTTGCAAGCCAGCCTTCCAAGAGTTTCAAGCCACACTTGGTCATGGACGCATTTCGAGACAAAGCTGAACGTCGAACATTTAGCCACGCGTGGCTTCTTTATCCACATCGACTGAGGAAAACTGTTAAAAATGCTCCTGGCAGTAATGAGACACGCTGTGCCGCTTTGGTGTCCAAGAAACTGTTTGCTCCAAAGTGTTCACGGCCTGCCTCTACAACATTTATGATTTTCTTGGAGTGAAAATAAGCTTAAGTTCATGTGCTTGCATGTGGTAAGCGGACTAGCGCACTTAGCTAACCATTTGCCTAGCCATCTGTAAGCTAACGTAAATCATTCTGTTGTTTATCATAGTTAGTTAAATGTTAAGGAGACTTTGTATGCTTGTACAAGCCAGTACCCACAGTATAGCTACTTAAGAGGCAGCTAGCAAACATATAACATGCGTTTAGTAGCCACCTTATAGTTCTACTTAAAACTCATACAGCCTAGCAACGCCGCAGCCGATCCAAGTGTGTGTGTGTTTGTGTGTGTGTTTCTGTTTCTGTTTCTGTTTGTGTTTCTGTTTCTGTTTGTGTTTCTGTTTCTGTGTCTGTTTGTGTTTCTGGTTCTGTTTCTGCTTCTGCTTCTGCTTCTATTTGTGTTTTCTGTTTCTGTTTCTGTTTCTGTTTCTGTTTGTCTTTGTGCTTGTCTTTGTCTTTGTGCGTGTGCGCGTGCGTGTGCGTGTGCGCGTACGCGTGCGCGTGCGTGTGCGCGTACGTGAGCGTGTGCGTGTGTGTGCGCGTATGCGTGTGCGTGTGTCGCGCGCGTGTGTCGTGAGCGTGTGTCGTGCGCGTGTGCGTGTGCGTGTGCGTGCGCGTGCGCGTGCGCGTGTGCGTGCGCGTGCGCGTGTGCGTGTGCGTGTGCGCGGGCGTGTGCGTGTGCGCGGGCGTGTTTGTGTGTGTGTGCGTGTGTGTGTGTGTGCGTTTGCGCGTGTGTGTGTGTGTGTGTGTGTGTGTGTGTGTGTGTGTGTGTGTGTGTGTGTGTGTGTGTGTGTGTGTGTGTGTGTGTGTGTGTGTGTGTGTGTGTGTGTGTGTGTGTGTGTGTGTGTGTGTGTGTGTGTGTGTGTGTGTGTGTGTGTGTGTGTGTGTGTGTGTGTGTGTGTGTGTGTGTGTGTGTGTGTGTGTGTGTGTGTGTGTGTGTGTGTGTGTGTGTGTGTGTGTGTGTGTGTGTGTGTGTGTGTGTGTGTGTGTGTGTGTGTGTGTGTGTGTGTGTGTGTGTGTGTGTGTGTGTGTGTGTGTGTGTGTGTGTGTGTGTGTGTGTGTGTGTGTGTGTGTGTGTGTGTGTGTGTGTGTGTGTGTGTGTGTGTGTGTGTGTGTGTGTGTGTGTGTGTGTGTGTGTGTGTGTGTGTGTGTGTGTGTGTGTGTGTGTGTGTGTGTGTGTGTGTGTGTGTGTGTGTGTGTGTGTGTGTGTGTGTGTGTGTGTGTGTGTGTGTGTGTGTGTGTGTGTGTGTGTGTGTGTGTGTGTGTGTGTGTGTGTGTGTGTGTGTGTGTGTGTGTGTGTGTGTGTGTGTGTGTGTGTGTTTTTGTGTGTGTGTGGCTTTGTGTGTGTGTGTGTCTGTGTGTGTGTGTGTCTGTGTGTGTGTGTGTCTGTGTGTGTGTGTCTCTGTGTGTGTGTGTGTTTGTGTGTGTGTTTTTGTTTGTTTGTGTGTGTGTTTTTGTTTGTGTGTGTGTTTGTTTGTTTGTGTTTGTGTTTTTGTGTGTGTGTGTTTTTGTGTGTGTGTGTGCGTGTGTGCGTGTGTGTGTGTGTGTGTGTGGGGGTGCAGATACGCGTTGCGGCGGGAGGATCGGTGCTTGACAAAACATGGCGGCAACATCTTTTCGGACCAATCGTTCTCTAGTTGTTTTTTGTTTTGTGTGCCCATGTGACATCTTTGCCAAGTTCCAAAGCGCGTGCTGGCTTTGCTTGGCGTGGATTGTGGGCAAAGCAAGCTCACCCATGATGAAGGTGCCATAAGGAATTAATTCCTGAGCCCTGGTTTGTGCTTATTATTATGCTAAAGTCATTGAATGCTAAAGTCATGGAAATTAGTGCAGGTGGTGCGTGGTCGAGTGTGGCTAAATATGCTACCCAGGTGCGGCATGCTGGGAGTGAGGACTGATGAAGCGAGACCCCCAGCCTGTCGCATGACTTCCAGTCAAGAAAGGGCCCCACAAGATCCCATGTCCTTCATGGATGGGGTCCAACTACTCTTGATCGACACCCATGGGTGGTCAGACAGCTTCCTTTCGGTCTGAAGCCGGCCAGACGATTTGAAGGCCCCACTTGCACAGGCGTGCACAGGTTACATCTGGGCCCCCAAGAGTGAAGCCGGGCTTTTCGGTCAACCAGTTGTTGTGCTGAAAGCGCCAGCTGCAAGTGCTGGTTGCCCTTTCAAAGCCTGAGTTGGCAAACGCTCCCTGGGTATGTGTTACACAAGCACAGATATCGGTTTGTTCGACTATTGAGAGACGGGCGTTCCTTTGTTTGTCCGCACTACTGTTTGGTATCTTTCAGCGTGTTTCCGCGCGAGCGCCTTGGTCAAACCCTTTATTCGATACTAAGGATGATCATGACAATCCAAAGGTTCCTAAGGGCACCATGGGCATGGTCCAGAGGAATTTTGATAGCGCACGTTTGACTGACAATCCCATGCACGCCCTTGCTGAAAACCGCTTCGCTGACACAATGTTACCAGGTGGAAAAACGGGCCTTGTCTGGAACTTAGGAGCTGATGGACATGTGGAGAGCCATCTCCTCAGCTTGAAGTGATGCTTTGGCGAACATCGAAGGAGGCCAGTCCTGGTTCCATTTCGGCCAATCTCAGTGATATCAGTGTTTGTTGAATTTGCGCCAGACTTTAGACTGGCCAAGGACGATTTTTCATGGTCAAAGACCTTCTCCTTGGACTTCTTCGGAGACAAGGACGGTCCTCTCCATCCAGTTGCCTCAAAAGTCATGATCGGATTGCCTATCTAGGAACACACTCCGAGAGACCTTGAAGTAGCTCATTCTCAGTTACTTGCGCGAAGACCATTTTTCAGCACTGGCACGCCTTCCGGCCCACGCCAGTCCTCACACCTGCCCTGTCTCTTTGCACTTCTCAAATTTAACGTAGAACCAGGGGACACTTTTCGCTGAGTTAAACGTCGCGACAATGCGCGGGAGATTTGCTGGGGAATGAGTTTCCGCTTTTTTGAAAGTCCCATGTTGCACACACCCAAGAAAAGAAGCCTACCATGGCACAAATTTGTGGGCGCGCGGAAGTAATGTTCGGTCTAACCTTTGGGCAACATGCCAAATTACAACATAGAACAGGAAGACCCTCACGGAAAGACGGCGAACCTGCACTATTGTTCCATGTTTTCCTTTATGGCTTGGTTTGGAGCCAAAGTTGAGGTTTAGGGTACCCTTTGGGTACCCTTTGTGGGTGACTAAACCCGCACTCCCCTAAACATGGAACACAAAAAGGAACTCCTTCCTACAAAAGGAAGCTCCTCACCCTTGATCTTGGGGTTTCATACTGATCTGCATTGGGTTCTAGGTTTAGGGGGACACCAAAGTTTGGGTTGAGGGTGGCCTCTTTGGGTTTGTTTAATAAACCCGTACCCCCTGAAATTGACATGGAGCGCACAAAAGGCAGGTTTTGTAAACATGGATGGTCTTGAGATTTCATATTCATTTGCATGGGGTTCCAGCCTTTTTGTGTTGGTTTAGAGGGATTGGGTTGAGGGTAACCTTTTCGGGGCTGGGTCAGCTAAACCCACAGGCCTCAAATGACCATGAAACACAGCCAGGGGTTCCTACAAAAGGACACACACACATGCATACATATTGCATTGCATAACACTACATCACACAATATAGCCCAGCTACATACATATATATATATATAGAAATTGACATTTTGGCTGTAACAATGCATGCAAAACACACGTTCCAGCTTCTAAAATGAGGCTCTAAAATATGCACTCCTTTTTAGACTTAAATTCTAGCATCGGTACTTAGTGCAATCCAGGATGTGCTAGCACCGTGCTAGCACATACCAGTTTGTCCTCAGGATGGATTGAAGATTTCCAGAACAAGTGGTCTGAGAATCTTCAATCTTCAATCTTCAATCCAGGATGTGCTAGCACGGTGCTAGCACATCCTGGATTACTCTAAGTACATATTTGGAGGATTTCAGAAAGAGTTGTCAGAGAATCTTCAATCTCCCATCCAGATCCTGGATTGCCTTAAGTGCGGATTTGAAGAACCCAAAAGGCAGACCGGGAGTGCACGCTGTCAGAATCAAAATGTGGATGTGCACTTGCACTGCCTGCAATTGGCCAGGGGAAAAAATGTTGCTGACACCTGTACAGTTTTTTGTGGACTTGAGGGCTGGCCAGGATGGAAGATTCTCAAATAGAAAATATGGTAGATCTCCAATCTTCAATGCAGGGGGCGAAACCTTAATAAGTCTGGAACCAGCTGTCAAGTTTTTGGGGGACCAGGATGGAGTATATTCTAAACACATGTTTGTGGAATCTTGTATATTCGATGTTCGTTCCAGGGCAACACGATCTGAGCAAATGCTGAATAACACTGCGTTTTACAGCATGTATGCAAATAATAAGATCTATGATTGAAAACACGTTCCTGTCATTGGCTTGGCTCAGTTCTTGCTTGGTTCAAACCACATGGAGTTCGATAAGGACAATAACCCTTTCAAAATCGAGTTTGATTCCAAATTCATTTGGCCATGACATTAGCTGTCTTCTCCAGTTGCTTTCTGAAATGCACAAGAAACTGCAAACGAGTAAACTTGAATTTGGTTTGAACTCGAAAGCTTTTTTAACTGGATATTCTTCCCTTACTTGAATTTTAATAGTTGTTATTGGCGATGATGGAACCAACTTAGACAAGCAACACACACACACACGTGGGATAGTTGCTTTGCACCATATGTTTCACATATAGACTGAACTAGCATGTCAGGAATTATGCACGACACTCGAGTTAACATGTAAATGCAACTGCGCAAGGACATGAATTAGGAATGAGTTCCTTTTCCCCGAGTTGATGTTTTGATGAATTTCGCTGCCAAACAAAAATAATAAACACCAAATAATAGGGCTGCTACAGGCGTGTTGAAGCTGCCGAAGCATACTTCGCGCACTACTCCTGTACTGCACAGTTGTGTTTTTTGAGCTGGAGCTGCCAAATTGCACTTTGCATACTCCAATGTGACTTTAAGTGCACTTCGCGCACGCCAATGTGACGGTCACACAACTCGCAACTCCTAATCAACGTTGAGCTTAACTTCTGCTTGGTTAGAATTTGCATGGAGTTGAGTGTCCAGTTCATTTCAGAGTCTCAAGGCAATTGGCTTTCCCAGCCCGGCCAAAAACCTCAGTTCTGCCCAAAACCTGAGTATTTCAAGGGGGGGGTAGCATATATATATATATATATATACGTACATATGTGTGTGTTTGACAGAAAGGGGTCCTGTTCCCGCAAACATGTGCCTTGTCCTTTGTTCTTTGGCCATACGTTTCATTCAGGACCTGCACCGCTGGACGCGGACTGGCGAGGAGCTGTACAGCTCTGAGCACTTGGGGAAAGTGCTGAGGCCCGTAGCTGTTCGGTTTCCCCAATGCTGCGGGCAGAGCGGGGGGGCTTGGGGCTCTAAGCTTTCAACTTATTTGCAGCGCCGTGGTTGGACCAGCCCCGGTTGAACAGTGTCTGGCTGATTGCTTTTGTTGAGGCCCAAAAGGGAGACAACACAAGCCCGCCGGAATGTTTTTCTTCTGGCTTGAAGCTGGCTCCTGATCTATTTATGTGAGTCAAAAGGCCCAATCGACAATTGTGGCGGCGCTTGCTTTGCTACCGTTGCACCGAACAGATGCCCAGAAGTTGCGGATTTGATCAGAGTCACTGGGCCAGCGTGTGTTTCAGGATCAATTTCATGGCGCATGTCCTGGCTGCTGTGTTCGCCAGACGTGTGGCAGGTGGAAGCCACTTTCGGTGTTTGTGCAATCTTTGCAATTGAAGCGTCCAACACGTGCAAACACAATAGTGGCAATAGGCTTGCACACTGGCACATGCTCAAACGCACAAACGCACACAAACACGAAACCAACATCCCACACCTGATAGCTTCGATGGCGCACGTTGCTTTGCGGTTTCTGGCTTCGGCCTTGGCAATCTTTGAGGCTGCGGCGCTGTGGAGCGACTGGGTATATCAACAGGGATCTGCCGCAGACGATACTTGCATATCCGTGAGCAGTGACTCCTCGGGGGACGTGGTAGTTGCAGGTGGGGTGGGTGGTTTTGCACAGCGAGGCTGTTTTTGTTTGAGACCCCAACAAAGGTGGCAGGTGTTTGATCTTCGCAGAGGGGGTGCCCGAGGAGGGACAGTCACATGGCGCGCCCCCAGGTTACACCTCGGGCGATTTCGCCGGAACGTCCCAGGGTAATCAGGATATCATCGTCTTGAAACTAAGCAGCGCAGGCTTGCTGAGTCTCGGTTGCACATCAGCCTTGCCACCTTTGGTTTCCCACCCCTGGTCCAGATTTATTCATGGACAGCCTCCGATTTCAAGACTGTTGGGACTAGGAAGTGGAGCGTGCAGATCGGCACTGCGGCGGATGACCATGGGTTCTCTCTTGCTATCGATAGCTCTGACATGATCTTTGTTTGTGGATCCACGGGAGGATCTCTGGACGGACAGACATACAATGGCGGAGTCGCGGACGCTTTCATCATGAAGCTCAACCCCAATGGGGCCTTGCAGTGGACAGTTCGACGGGGCTCGATTGGAAAGTCGGATAGATTCATGGACATTGCTGCAGATGCTAGTGGAGTTGTGGGAGTTGGCTGGGCTACCGGATCGCTGGACGGGTACACGGCCCAGGGCGGCCGGGATTTTGTCTTCAGCGCTTTGACAGCGCCGGTGTGTGGCAGTGGACGAGGATGAGGGGGAGCACAACAGCACACGATGAAGCCCGTGCAGTGCAGCTCGACTCTGATGGCAATATTCTAGTGCTGGGACAGACGGATGGCAACATGGACGGCTGCGCAAATGCAGGAGGGACCGATAGTGCACTTGTAAAATATGACAGTGCAGGAACTTGGCTAGCGACAATTCAGCTGGGCACAAGCGGAGATGACATTTTTTGGTGCCTGGGATTGGATGCTGGCGGCAACATTCACGTGGGCGGTCATACGACTGGCTCATTTCCAGGTTTCGCCAATGCAGGCGCAGATGTCCAACAATAAGCGCAAAGTCCTTCAAAGCCTTCAAGATGATGTTTGTAGTTGTTCTGATCAATGCATCCAACAATTTGAAGGGTTTGGTCTAGAATGATGTCGAACGACCGCTTCAACAGTCTTAACTTTTTCGTGGTTTGCTTTTGTTTGAACCACTGCCCAACTCGAACGTCTTCATTGCCCTGCCTGGCAGGGAGTTCCGATATCAATTTGGTGAAGCTAAATGCTTCGTTTTCAATTCTGGGGATGACTCAGCGAGGATCAACAGGCCCTGACATTGCGCGAGAATTGGCGATAGATACAGCGAACGAGTACCTCTACCTTGCTGGCTACTCCACAGGACTATTGGATGGTCGTTCCACGACAGATTCTGAGGCATTCATCATGCAGTTTGACTTGGCAGGGGCTTGGATATCCACGACATTCCATGGAACCTCTGGGGAAGAGACTGTCGGTGGATTTCACCTCGACGTATCAAATACTTTTCTGATGACTGGGTCCACTACGGGATCCTTTTCCGGATTCAGCAATGCTGGTGACAAGGATATATACGTCAGCAAGCCTCTTCAAACAACCACGACAACCACTACCTTCACTTCAACTACTTTGAGCTCTACCTCATCCAGCCCAACAACTGCATCCTCCACAGCCAGTAGAACCACGACATCTATCACAACTACTTTGTCAACGATCACCATCACACGCACTACAAGCACTTCAAGCACTTCAAGCACTTCAAGCACAACATCCGTCACAACTACTTCGTCGACAATCCTCATCACACGCACTGCAAGCACTTCAAGCACTTTAATCACTTCAACCACTTCAAGCACTTCAAGCACTTCAAGCACTACAAGCACTATAAACACTTCAAGCGCTTTAAGCACTTCAAGCACTACTTCGTCGACGATCATCATCACACGCACTTCACGCACTTCAAGCACTTCGCGCACTTCACGCACTTCAAGCACTTCGCGCACTTCAAGCACTTCAAGCACTTCAAGCACCTCAAGCACCTCAAGCACCTCAAGCACAACATCCATCTCAACTACTTTGTCGACGATCACAATCACACGCACCACAAGGACTTCAAGCACTTCAAGCTGGAGCACTTCAAGCGCTTCAAGCACTGCTATCACGGCGGCCTATTCGACCAGCAGTACAAGCATGCTTGTCCTCACGTCCACGAGCAGTACAACTGTCTCTTCTGTCAGCGCATCCTTTGCGGAAGCATCTAGCAGCTTCACATCCACCAGCGCAAGCGGAGGTGGGTCCGCTGCCACGGCAGCTGTGGAGGAATTCGAAGCAGGCCAGGATGGCCTGGCCCAGAGGGCCCTGGATGCAGAGTCGGAGGTCTTTGCGCAGGAGCCAGACGGCACAGTCTTGGTGGCAGTCGCAACAAAGGCAAGCGACAACAACACGGACGTGACCGTGGCTCATGCAGGGATGGAAGTGACAATTCCTGCGGCGCTGGTATTGGCTGCTGGGGACGGCGGATTTGTATCGCTGGTCTTGGCCCGTTTGGGTTCAGAATCCCAGACCCTGGAGGCTCTTGAGGCTGCAGATGCTCAAGCTCTTGCGGGCAGGCCTGTGAGCATAGTTATATTTACATCAAACGGTACAAGATGGTCAGGGCCTTTGCCAGAGCCTCTTGAATTATCCATCCCACTTGATCAGAACACCACGGAGGACGGTGAGTGCGCATTCTGGGATACGAACACCAACAGCTGGTCCACGGAGGGTGTCTCAACACTCTCTATAGACAATCGAGTTGCGGCATGTCAAACGACGCATTTGTCCTTGTTGCTGATTTGGACTTGGTAAAGTGTGCGCGTGTTCACTGGTGCTTAGTTTTGTGCTCTTTAAACACGACCAGCTGTTTGTTCATGTAACATAAATTATTTGACCGACGGTTTCCCGGTAGTCTGGCTGTCCTTTGTGATGTGTGAGGGCGTAGTCTAAGGTTTGCCTTTGTGCTCCGGACGATCGCGCAGATCTTCATTTGCTCCGCCGCTTCGGCGATTTTTTCGGTGGACGGGCTCCGAAATCTCCGGCGGAGTCACTGGGCTGGATCCGTTCCTGCTGCCTTGCATTGGCTGGCGCTCCTGCTGGCAATGTTGCTGCTGCTGCTCGCCTGGCGCAGCGATGCCCAGCCCATTGGCAGACTGTTTCCCCGGGAAAAGGCTTCAACTTTGGAATACTTTAGCTTTTAAATTTTAAATCGGATGGCAAACAAAGGTGCGATTTCTTTCCCACTGGGCCTCTGAGGATAGGGCACATGAACGTTACCTGGCAGAGCTGGAAGTGGCAGAGGCCAGCTTGAAGCGGAAGAAGTCAGCTTCCATATCAACAAAGGACTTGATCCTGCACGGGTTCAACCTGAGACTGCCGGGTTTTAAGCGCTTGTCGAAGCAGGTTTATTCCGCCATAGTGCGCCAAGGAACGGGTGAAACGCTGCCAGCCTTGGAGAAAATGTATTCTTCCGTAGGAATGGTTGCAGCACACTCCAAGGCGCATCAATGTATCACCAGGTTTTCCAGCTCTTCAGTTTACAGAAAAGTTCAAATTCTTTACGCAGCAAGCAACGTTTGGGTGCGGATCACAGAGCCTTCTCGAGCGCGTTCTTCAGTCGTCCGCTGCCTTCTGCTTTTTGCCCAGCTCTACAGCAAATGGGCGGTGGCCGCTGTTTTCTTCAATGTGCGGCGCTTGCGCCGGATCCAGGCACGGGCAAAATATGCTTGAACAACCAGACCCTGGGTTGCTTCGGGAAGCCAAAAGAAGTTTGTTTAAGCAGTGTTTTAGCCCATGGTGTATACAACCAAGGGCTTGAACCCCCAACTCCGACATCTCAATTTGCCAGAATGTGAAATCTTCGAGAGCTTCCCCGAGATGCTGATCCGCTCGACCTTTGTCGCTGGCGTGTCAACCCTTTTGGGTATTTTGCCTTTCCTCCTGCTTTTGGCTGTGAACAAGTGCCCCAAGTCTTGTCAGACTCCAGCCCTTGTCCTCGGTTATGTGTTCGTTTCCCTGTACGCAGCTCTTTGTGTCACGGTCGTGTGCATTTTCTTGGCTTCTGTCACTCTTGCAGATGCCTTAAAGTGGTTCACGAGCGGCCTACTGGGTTTGGTCTCATCTTTGCTGCTGACGCCTGTCTTTGTGACACTGGCCAGTTTGCTGCTGCTCAGCCGCCACCAAATCACTGCCGACGAGCTCTGCCACTGGTACTGCGAGGGTCTTGCCTTCCAGCTTGGGCCCCTACACATCTCAATCGCTTTGGCAGACCAGCGCCGGCTACCCGGGCTTCAAAGAAAGGTTGCAAAAGAGTTGAGGCCCCTGTGTAGCAACTCCAGATCGGAATTCAAGCCCTTCACTTGGCGTCTCAAAAACGAGGTGGAGTGACCACTGGTGGTTCTCTTAAATTCCCATGCAAAACGCAAAGAAAGTCATGTGGAAAAGCCCAGGCTACTGCGCCAGATGCCGAGCGCGGGCAAAAACCTCACCGTGCGGTGCCAGGTGGTTGGCATGCCCCAGACAGTTCTGCTGGAGCGGTCCTCTGAAACTGAGGAAGCGGTTCAGAGGTTCTCTGGAGGAGAGCTGAGCCTTACCGATAAGCAGTGGCTGCAAATTAGCATTCTGGGCGAACGTGCTGGTTCGTATGTGGAATTGGGCTTTGTGTGCTTGGAAATGTCAACCTTGTTGAGTGGCGGATTTCAAGGAAGACTTAAGCTGAAGTCTATGCGGAGATGGCTGGATGCGCATATTGATGCTAATATTCCTGAGCCAGTTGCAACTTTAGCAGGAAGTCATGAGGCAGATGCCGTTGATCTGTGCGTAACCACCGAAAGTGATGACAACAGAGAGACCCAACGGGATGTGAACCCATTTTGTCATCCGCATGTCCACGAAGATGATGCCATGCAAACAATTGCAATATGAATATGCTTGGTGGGCTGGCTGCTGATACCCAGCAGATCTGGGCCACGGTTCACTCTATCATTGGTTTGCATCTTAGGTGCCACATGCCTTAGGTTGTGGCACTGTGGATGTGGATTCGCAGGTTGATCGGTTGCAGGTTTTTGGGCAGTCCCGCATGGGTTTTGGGTGGTAAGCTGGTCAAATAGATTGATTTTGAGAGCTGTTGAAATACTTTTTGGTTGAGGTAACCATCGCCATGCTGCGACAATTTTCGTTCGGAGACGCTGCCGATAGCAGGCACGCCTCGGAATGGTTGACAAAAGACAATCAAATAGTTTGATTGTGACCCGTTGGCCTACTTTTTTGTTGAGAATCGAGTTGACCATCGACTGATTAGCCGCACATGCTGCGACAATTTTCGCGCGGAGACAATGTCACCAAAAGCGAGCCGCTCGGACTGCCACCTGGAGGGTACATGTCCTACATCAAGCGGGTGACCTTTGCACCTCAGAACCGCCCCTTCCAAGGGAATCAGTGAGAATTGCCCACGTCATGTCTTTTGACCCACGTCATGTCTTTTGAAACCCGAAAAAAACGCACGGGTTGCTTCGGTTTGGATTTGGAATCCCCAGATTTTCCTTGGTTTGCATGGAGTGCCCTTGGCCGCAGCTGGATAGGATGCCGACTGGCAGGCAGTGACCAGTGCCGCCTGGCCACCTTTGACCTTTGGCTCAAACGCTCCCTTGTGCGGTGGTTTGGCGGGCTTAAGTATCAATGAAGTGGTCAACCCCAAAGGGTACAGGTGTTTCCACCGTGGGAACTGGACAACTAGGTGTGTGTTGCTTTGCAATCCCGTTCGCAGGGACAATATCGGAGACTACACCTTCCTGGAAGCCTTCGACAGGACTAGGCTTCACGGTTTTTCGCCCCAGAGGCACACCAGACTCAAAGGCAGCGGCAGTGAACCAGGCTTGGGTAAAGTCTACCTCAAGGGAATGTGGGACCTTCTTTAATATGCCCCCCTGGAACAGAACAAACAGTTATCCGGCAAAGTTTTCTTTAGTGACAGGGGGGTGTCTGGCTTGAGCTTGCCAGTACTTAGTTTTGTGGGGTTATCTCAGATTCCCCATACTGGATGTCCGATTCTATATTTTGTCATTGCTGCGGCTTTGGTCTTAGAATTTTACACTCACCAATCGAAAGCTTGACGTTAAAGCGACCCACGAAACAGTCAGATAAGAGAGTTGTTTCTTTTAACATAGGAAATGTGTATACAAATCGACGGTTTGACCTGTCAAACTCAGGAATTTCGAGATCGAAGGACCTTAGCCGGGAAGGACCTGGATCACCCCCCAATGGCCGGCCAATTGCCGGCACATCGATTTTGGGCAAAACGATGTAACTTTATGTCTAAGTGACTGCAAAGGCAATTTGCTATTAAGTATCAATCATGCGTACTTAGTGCAATTTGTGCAATGATACAAGTGACCTTGCAGGCTTCTGTGCGGGGGGGCGCAGGGGAAAAGGGTTGCTGGCAAATTTGAGGTTTGGAGGGCAAGTTTGAGGGTGGGAGGGGTTCTTGAGGAGCGTGTCACGGGGTGGCCAATTGCCGGCACATGTACGTTGAACTGTCACTTTTTTGGGATATGAGCGTCACTAGGGTGTCGGCCCCCCTCCCCCCCCTCGCGCGTTGCATGTGCAGTGATCATACATGTCAGCCCAACTCCTCAACTGGATCTGGTATCCTGAAGTGACGTTTCAACAAAAGTGACCTTTCACTGCACTTTGATGGCAAAACATCTATGTGACTACAAAACCATTTTCAAGCAAGTGCTGGTCAATTGCCGGCACTTCACCCGGGACGCCAATTATCGGCCATTGGGGAGAGCTGGGCTTTGATGTTGGAATTTCACACCCACCCCATAAACGCTTGACATTGACACGGCCCTCGAAACAATCAGATTAAAGGGGATCGGGACCTCTTGTGGGGGTGCCCCTTGGAGTGGGGATACCCCTCGAAATAGTCACAGCATTCTGAATTGGGAAACAAGCTTTATGTCAACGCGACCGTAGGTATAAAAGCAAGTCTCACACTAGTCAAACATGGAAACCCTGCACCGTGTCCTAAATTTTCCCGCTTTGAAAGCAATGAATTGCTGGACCATTTGGACAGCCCTCGGTTAAACGAAGCCCAAGGCCCAGAGCACTTGCAGGACTGGTCGCATCATGAACATCACGGTGAGCGGCCTGCCAGGCAATACCAGGTGGGACCTGGTTTCATTTGACTGAAGAAAGGGCATTTGTTTGTTGCGACTGCGAGTCTGTATCGCGGTTCAAAGCGATATGAATGTGTTGGAGTTTTGGTGAGAAACAATATCTCTTTCAGAGGGTTTGCAAAGCAGGATACGTGCTTGGAATGTGTTCATATCTTTGTGTATGTGCGTGTGCATTTGGCAGATATGTATTGAACTGTGCTGTCTGTCAGGACCTCGCCCTTTGATTGTGACCTGACCATGTGATGCTTATGCCCGGTAAGCTTGCTTTGCACGCTTCAATAATCATTCACGCTCCTGAAATGGCATGTTTCGACCCTCTTTTGAACACACCGTGAGGAAGTCTCTGAACGGTAGCAACGACAACATGGGGCTTTGTGCTCCAGGATGCAAATTCAGCCAGTCACGTCTTGCTCGAAGCGCGCTCTGGGATTCAGCCACAATACCTTTTGCGTTACACTCTCGGTCGATCCATCTACCACCAAAGGGGTTCGCATTCATGTAAATTTCAGCGGAGTACGCCCAAAGATATCAATAAACGGAGGCGACCCTCAACATAAAAAAAGAAAGGCTAGATGATCCAGAATGTGCACCCGTGATCAATACCCCCTCCCCCCCCCCCCCCCGTCACTTTGATTTGTTTGGTCTTATTTGCCCAGCTTCATACTCGAATCGATATTTTTTGCAGTTGGGGTTCAGGATGTCTAGCAATACAACTTGTGTTTGGGTTTGCACTGCGGTCAGGTTGCAGCAGTGCAGTTAAATTCCGGGAGGTTTGGCAATGCTACTTCAAAGGGGGCAACACTGCTCTTGACTTGATTCCATTCCAGAAAGGGGCCAGACCATTAGCTTTGTTCAGGTTCCCTGGGTAGTTGTATTTACTGCCACATGACTTCGTGGGGGGAGCCCTGGCTGTTTATTTCTTTTTTTGAATTTTGGGACTCGTGTGCAAATAGCCATATATGCAGCCTTCGTCACATGCACTACACAATTTATTTTTTGTTTGCTCATTATGGGCCACTGGCAAGGGTACCAACGATTCGAATCACTAGGACAGAATGATTACTCAAACGCAGAACACTTTAGCTTTACTTGTAGTGGCATTCTTATCTAGAGGCAAGTATTCCTTATTTGACTTTAGTTTGTTTTTTTTTGTCCGGGAGGGGATTGCTGAGCTTTATTCTGGGTCGCTTTAAATATCGTAGGTGGACGCTACTGTTTTTCAGCAAGAGTCCGGCACTTGCTTGCATCTTCCCTCGGCATCTCACATCGAGTTCAACTTTGCTTCCATCATGAGCCACTCTACGCACGATAATGTTTGGGCACGAAGCCAGACCGAAACAATATAAGCCCAGCTTTCGCGCACTTGTGATTTTGTAGGCATGGGTCCAATTACGAGAAAACACCAGTTGCACACGTGGCCTTTAGGAAGCGTGACGGCAAGATAATCAGCATTCGAGCCATCTAGCAAGGAAGGACAAGCAAACACCAGCATTCGAAAGCCTTAAATGCTGGCCAACTGGTGACGAGTAGAGCAAGTTGATTTCTGACGCAAGGCAGCAGCATGTATAACTCAGCCCCACAATCGAAGGAGACTCTTTGAAAGGAAGCCTGCAGTGATGTTGCGCTGTAGTGATGTGCTCAAAATGATGGGTGACGCCAACTGTCTACCTTGAGGGCGGCAACTTCTCTTGCCTCAGTCTTCACTCACATGGCAGGTACCCAATGCTGCTGAACTACTTAACAAGCCCCCACGTGCTGGCTTGGCTCTCAGTGATGATTTGCTTGTGCAACAGGCCCGACTGGAGCAAACTTTTGTGATTAGCACGTCGCACTTGCTCAGAGTGATGCTGCTCTGATTCGCGGTCAATGAGATGTGCAAGTCAAAAATCGTCTGCTGCACTTACCGCAGCTACGGTGCTCAATCGATGGAGGTGGCTGTCCAACAGAATGGGCCGACCGATTTGTGATTGTTCAGGCCGGAGACGTCAACTTCCAACATGTCTGCTCAAAGTGAGCAACCGTCAAAACTCGCGTTATCTAGAATATGTATTCGGCGGACATGGGTTTTCCAAAAGTGAAGAAAGCTGCGGGAAGCGATGGGGGCGTCCCAAAAGCGATGCTCTGCTCTTGCATGCATTAATAAACACAGAGTGGATTTTGCTTGCGCTACTTGATTGTGGGGGTTTAGAGGAAAACCAAGCAGCAACCACCCATTTTTGCAAGTCCCTTACAAAAGGACAAACCCAAGTTAACACTTGATGGCTGTTGGATGTTAGATGTGCTAGGTGGCGTATGGCTGTGCTTGAAGCTAGACCACCATCATAACATGTAAAAAGAAGATGTGGATCCATTGCAGTTAGACACACCCGTGTTTGAGCATACAATATGCAAGATTGTAAGAGCGATTCCCAAAAAATTGTAAAAGACAAAAACATGTGGGAAGCGATGGGGGGCGTCCCAAATTGGCGGTGTCCACTGCGGGATACAAGGAGTTTAGACAGGCGCACAAGTGTCGCTTGTCAAATCAGTTGAAGACAATGTCAAAACATATTCAAGGCCAGCGTTACCAGAGCCGCCTGGCGTACCTGACACTTCTGGCATCGCTTCCACTTAGGGAACCGCTGGCCACCGCCGCAGAACTTGACCAAGTACCTGAGAGAATCCGCAGTGTAGGTCCAACATGGCCCCTTTCGGCATGCTCTTTTGCTGAGGGGGCCTTGGCACTTTGTTTTGGCTGGTCCTTGGTGTGACCGAATTGCCCCTTCGTTCTTTTGGACACATATGGCTTTTCCATGAGACCTACAGAGGGTGATCGATCTTTTGCTCATGTTTGCAACAACCGAGTAAAGAGATCCTTTCACACCTTTCCCCCCCAAAAAAAAAAGAAAGAAAAGAACACAAAGCAACATCTCACGAGGTACCAAAGAACCCTCTGGAGCCAATGGACATGGAGGCTTGGTCTTGTGCCGATCAGGTGATGCGGCTCGCACTGCCACACAGACCCTCCGCCTCTGCGAAAGCTGGTCTTCCAGGCAGCCTCTTGTAGGCAACGAGCGAAAACTCCATGAAGGTCCTTGAGTGGATTCCTTATTTCCAATTTGTGGATGGCAACTGGCAACGGGTTTGATCCGGTCTTGCATGGTTCCCCCTTACTTACAAACAACGCACACCAACAAGGGGGTCTCCGAAAGGCAGATCGTTTCGTGGTTTTTGGCTTTGGCTTGGGATGTTGTTCGACCGGGGGTTGCCTGAGTGAAGACATGCCTGTTTGGGACCTCGGAAGTGTAGATGTTCTTTTACTTGCAGGTGTGCGCAACTGGCCGCCGCATCTCTGCCATTCTGACTAGCCTTTGCCAAGCAACTTGCACGCTGATGGAATCAGCTTGAAAATTGGAAAGCGGTCGAATCATATGAGCCTCTGCATTTGTTCGGCTCTTAGGTTTGCTGGGTTGGCCATGCTTTAAACTGAAGCTTGCCATCAACCAGAGTGTTTCCAGTTCCACACACACACACATCAATTGGTGCCATGATTTGAAGCCAACCGGAATCATTCCAAGCTACCTTCGATGATCATCTTTGGAGCAACTGACAAAACATTGCTTGGTGGTATGCTCAATCGACATCAGCATCAGGACACGCATGTCCGTGTCACTGCATAGATCAGAGTTGCTAGATAATTATGCTATGCGGGTGGAAGGTTGTGATTCTTTAGAAATGCGAGGACGAATGTTTGCAGAGCACTTATACCAACGTACTTGTGGTTGCCAATTTGGTAGGGGTGTCCAGCGCGGTTCTTGTTTGGCCTTAGGAACGGCTCAGCCTCGGAGTTGACACATGTGTTGCTCTCCCGCCCTCGTTCAAGCGTTGCTTGCTGCTGTCGAGAGCTTTGTTCTGGCAGGAGCACAAGAGAAGCTGCACGGAACTTGTTGAGAGGCGTGTAGAAGCTCAATGAAGCTCATGTGTCAGTTTAGAAAGCGTTGGCTTTTCCCCTTTGCCCCTTGCAGAGTGCCCGAGCGCGCGTCACAAGGCCATAAAGGCGGTGTTCAACAGCCTCAGCTCTCCGCCCGACAGGCTGGCAGCATTCATTGCCTCGCTCGACTGGTACGAGTTGGTGTAAGCCTGGACACAGCGGGAGGTCGTGTAGGTTTGCGGAAGCGCCACAACTCGGTGCACGTTGCGTTGACTTCCCAATCGTAGAACCAGCGGACATGGGACAGTCCCATTGCAAAACGCTCTCAAACGAGGTTCTGACCGGGCTTGGCGTGTCCCGTCGAAGTTTCGAAGCGCACGTCGTTGCAAATGTCTAGAATTTCAGGATGTTGCTTCAGACATGGCTTAGGCGGTCCAGATTATGCCGTGTGACTTGGGGTGATGCTGACGATGGTGGTGGCTGCCAAGTTCGAGAAAGGCTAATGAATCCTCAGCAGATCCGATAAACCCAGAGTGCTTTTGCTGCATCCAGGAAAACGGCGCATGCCAATCTTAGACTGGCGCCACATCAAGTGATCACTTCAGTTCCGACTGATGCAGGAAAGGCACGCCACGCATTGGGTGAAAAAGGGATCTTGATCAAGCGCGATGTGTATTCTCATGAGCTAATGGTTTGGTAGAGCATGGAGGCCTCTTGACAAGGTTTGGCTAGGAACAGCCCAGCCACATCGCCCAAGTACTTCAAAAGACTGGGCCTGGTGTTCTGATGTAGAAGTATATATCAGCAACGGGCCAATTGGGGTCGTTGAATGCAACCATGTTGAAGGGTTTGCAATGTTGGTAATTGCATGTGTTTGGGCCAAGCTCTGTCTACGAGTGCCATCAGAAGCACTGACAACGGCTTGGACGAATTGTGGGAAAGCGCGCTAACTGAGAGTGCTGAGTGTTATTGAGAAGCTTTGCTGTCAACAACCACTGTTTATGGCATAAATTATTGCACTGTTTTTGGCTTATGTGCAACGATATATGCTACACGAATGCTCGTGCTTGCGAATCACAAGTTGGGTTCCAGTTGCTTTGGCCTATTTGCAGCCTTGCCTGGAGCCAGCCTAAGGCAGAGAAGATCGACACCCTTTCGTTGAGGGGCAGCTTGGAAGCCGTCGACGGTAACTGGAAGCGCTTGGTTTGTTGATACCAAGCTGTCCAACTCGCCAGGTGCCCGCGCAGCTTGCGCTAGCTGTTGTCGCAGTACGGCACGTGCGAGTGGCCCGCAGGTGTGATCCCAAGGGCGCCTTGGCGGCATTGACTAGTCCAGCGAGTAAGGGCCCCACCTATTTTGAAGACAAGCCCGGGTGGTTAGTTCCACTCTGTTCTCCGACCGCTCATAGCATCTCACTGCGAGGTTGTATGGATAAGCCGCGACTCAGTCGTCTGAGTCACCGGGTCTGGCCATGTTCAAAGCTTTATTTTCTTTAGCGGTGCAACTGTGGGGATGATCATCGATCCCTTTTTTGGATTTTAGACAACCATTGTAAGAGTTCCATGATGGCGCCCTGCTGAGGGAATGATGACCATAACCCTCAGATTTGGAGAGTGAACCATGACGCACACGTGACGAAACAGCCGCTTGCCATTGGGCTTGACTCGACTTGGCTCCAAGATCTACACTTTTCGCCAATTCAACTGGGAATGTGGGGTTGCCTCAAAGTAGCGGAGCCTTCCGGAACGGGGTGCCTCTTTTGGCTTCCCTTTAAAACAACCCCAAAATGGGTAGCCTCAAGTATCCCTAAAAAGACACCCATGAAGGATTGCATTTTTCACGGATGGATCAAATCCTCAGCTTTAGCGAGAGCATCGCTGGGAGCTCACATGCAGTCAGTAGGGGGCCCAGCTGTCGGAAAAAGCTGCGCCATGACGTGTCAAACAGATCCCTGTAAATGACTGGCTTCATTCATTTTGGTTCCCTTGTTGAACCGTTTCCAAAAGTATTATATTTTCAGATGTTATAGTTGCAATACTCATCCTAATCTGCAAAGTGCATGACACACCCACTGTCGTGTGCAGCAGATGAGGTGTCTCAATGTATTTCAACCCTGCGTGGCCTAATTGGATAGTGACAGAGTAAGTGTGTGTGTGTGTGTGCGTGAACAAATACGCAACGAGGTTGTGAACAGAGAAATATTTCCCGTTGCATGTTTAGTGTATGATTGCATTTCACTTTTGTTGGTATAACTTCTGTGATTAGCCATGGTTCATATCATCATCAGGAACGTCGCGTTAGTGACCGACCTGTGGTGTTTTGGCTCAATATTTTTCAGTTGGGTTCCGTCGCGCCTCGAATGGGCGTCGCCGAACCCCTGCGTCGACCGACGGCATCTCGGGGGAGAAAGAGACCTCGGGCCGCCGCCAGGTTGGTAGGGACCAGTCGTGCGGCCTGTTGTCGACCAAGGTTGCGGGTTAACCCTTTTCTTGTTTGGTTTGTTTTCCTTTGGTTGTTGTTCTCTGGTGTGTGGGAAACCCTGATCTTTGGGACCGGGGATTGGTTTGCTTTTGGGGAACCTTTCTTTTGTGGCTTGTTTACCCCAACTTACCCATTGCCTGGGCACAGGCTCGTGCCCGAATCACAGGTTATCAGCCGTAGGACTTTCCTACGCGCTTGAGACCATCAACTACAAGCTCTATGTCGACCCCACGATCTCGAAGGAGCGTCGTGGATGAGGAGGCCATCCTAGGTGGCCTCCGCTCAGGTGAGGACCTACCGGACTATGACTACGAGGATTTCGAAGCAGGTTCGACAGGTCAGGACCGCAGGGGTGAAGATCCCGGTAGGGATACACCCAGGGCCGTGGCAGGTACGCCGACGATGGAGACGATCGTATTTTCCGCCAGGCCACTGATGACGAGCAGACACGAAGGGTTTACTCCGATAGGAGTGGCTCTGAATCAGGTCACAGGCGTGGACGTTTTGACTTCATCAGCATGGCGATGGACATGGCCCGCCCTCATTCGGATGACCCGGAGGCCATGCCGATTCGACCTCCGAGATCTCTTGTCCCAGGTGAGTCGCAGGTCTCGGATGAGTTTGAGAATAGGCCGCAGGGACCAGGGACAATGGTTCTGGCTCCGGGAGGTATCCCGTGACCCATTGGTTCTCAAAATCCAGGTCAGTTTGATGAGCACGAGGAGCGGAAATTCACGGACTTCGGATACGATGATCTGTTGAAATCAACCGCAGGTTGGGGCAGTAGCTCAAAGCAGGGATCTGATGCCGGTAGGCCCAACCCTAATACTGCCAAATCTGAGTCTTATGATGGCGAAGGTTACAATTTTGCGGATGAGGAGGAGAGCCATTCGCGCCGAAATGCAGGCAGCCGTGCGACTGCAAGGACTAGTCCCGCCGCGGCCAAGTTTGAGGTCGATGATGATGACGAGTATGCCGCATTTGCGGATCGCCGTGATGAGGAGGAGGACCAACCACGACGAAATGCTAGGATCCGTGATGCTGCGAGGCCCAGGAGCCTCTCTCGTGGAGCCGCCAGGGACCTTCGCGTTGACAGGGATGCCCGAAGCGAGAGAGAGAGAGCCAGGGACAGTCGGGAAGTTCTTCGGGGATTGGAGGCCATCCATGACCGTGAGGGACCGGTAGGTCCCCCGGCGATTGGTGATACCCCGAATGTTCCCCCTTTTCCCAACATTACGTTTGGAGGTCCGTTAAATCAGAGAGACGTGAACTCGAACCGGGTTACTGGTTCGCCGAGGGTCACTGAGCGGGTTGCCGATGTCGTTGGGAGAGGTGCAAGAGATGGCCGGCTTGCCGATGCACTCGGAATCGAGGATCGTCCGTCGATCGCTAGCCCGTTAGGGCGAGATACCAGTGACCTTGAAACGCTAAGGTCTAGCAACGAGTTCACACCTCAATGGGGCTCGACCGCCAGGGAACGTAGTGCTTCTGCGAAGAGACCGTCACCCCTGGCCATTGAGACCGATAGGTCAAAGGCGAGGAGGGCTAGCCCCTCACCAATGGACTCAACTCCGCAGGATGAGGAGATGCCTGATCCTGCTGATGTTCACATCCACTCTACTCCCGAGTCTCGTGCGTCCCATGTTGATCCCCGTTCCGGCGATAGCCGTAGAAGGGGGTCTACCCTAGCAGGCCATCTGGGGTTGGTGATAGTCCTGTGGATGACCCCAGAAGATATGCTAGAGCTAGTGGGGCTCCTGAGAGGATCGAGATATCGACTCCTCCAGCACTCAGGTCTCATTCTTCCGGTGAATCAGGTGACGCTAGGGCAAAGGAGGTGTTCGATTTGCACATCCAGGAGATGCTCGAGAGAGGTGAGGTTTCTGGCTCAGTCGCGAAAACGTTCCATATTTTTGCTGACCAGATCAGGTTACTGAACGGTCAAGTGAGTTCCATGCGAAGGGAATGGAGCGACGAGAATCAACAGACGAAGGACAAGGTCGATCGACTGGCAGCTGAGGTTGCGACTCAATCTGATGCCGGGAGGATGCGAATGATAGTTCAACGGTTCGCAAGGGAAGTTATTCCCGATAGCAAGGCCATTGTGAGGCAAGCCATCGATGAGCAAGCCGAGGTCGTGGAGCAGAGGATTAACCTACTGTCCCACGAGGTCCATGAATCTGTCAGGGACAATGAGGCATCGACTGATCGGCTTCGCCTGATGATTCAGGAGAATAGTGAGGCTGCCCGCAGAAGCCATGCTGCTTCTGAGGACGAGATCCTTAAGGATTTGGACAAGCTTGAGAAACGGATGTTCTCGGTAGAGAAAACCGTTGGGATGCGGACACCAGCAGGTGTATGGAACCCGAATCCTGTCGCGCATCCGTCCGATAGGGCCAGCGGCAGTGTAGTGGACGCAAATTTCAGGGAGTTAAACCTGAAGATCGAGAAAGCTCTCCTTGAACACGAGACATTTGCCAAGTGGGCCTCCGAATCTATTGAAGGGATCAATGAAGAGCACACTCGTCTTGTTAATCGAGTGTCGAGGCTGCAGAGTGGAAGGGGGTCTCAGGAGGTCGATAGACCATCAGAACATGATTCCCCGCAGGACTGGCATGAGGCTATTGACGAGGTCAATCGGAAGATCCAGGATCTGGCTCGAGGAATTCAACGTCAACGTCGGGATCATGACGACATCATTTCAAGGTTTGAGACCGTGAAATCACATGTTGAACAGTATGAAGCGAGATCGGCAATTGTGAATCGGGTCGTTGATAACATTCAAGGACAGATCCGTAATCTTCCTGCAAGCAGTGACCAAGTGCAGCCTGCCGTTAGGCGAGAACTCGGCTCGTTCCGGAGTACGCTTGAAGGCGTTATGCGGAGAGTCAGCGCTATCGATGGTAACGTGCGTAATCTTAGCGCAACGAACAACAGAATCATGTCTCAGCTCTTCGAAATGGAGGGTCAATTTGACGAGGCCGCTGGCATCATTCAGGGTGTCCAGCAGATTAATGAGGCTCCTCAACAACCCAGAGAGAGACGGAATGTTGGTTACGATGCATTTGCGGGGCAGGGACATACGATCAGGTCTCCGACGCCCACACCCGGGGAAGGTGACGGCCGGGGTACCCGCCGTCCGGTGAGACCAGGCGGAGGTGTTGGGTTGCCTGACCAGGTTTTGCCGAATGTGCCCGATAGGGTCGATCCCTCTCGTGCAGACAGGCATCCCATATATCCCGTTAGGGAGAGGTCCGAAAGCAGAAGCCGGAGGGCTCGGGGATTACCTGACAGGTCGCATTCACCGCCAGGGCGTGCGAGGGATGGCCCCCGCGCGCGCGCAAGGGGGGACATTTCTATTTCTCCCAATAGGGATGTGGGTAGGAACCGGAGCCCAAGGCCTGATGCCGTTCCCAATAGGGGGTCTGAGGTCCGAAGTCGGCAATCAAGGGTGGAGAGGCCGGTCCGCGATAGCGGGAGCATCTCTCCGAACCTGGATAGACCGATCCGCGATAGCGGGGACGTCTCTCCGAACCCAGACCGTCATCCAGGAGGTGGTAGGGGTATTAGGGCCCATGCCGATACCCAGAGTCCCGGCGATGACTGGAGGACTCCTGGGAGCAGAGCTAGTGCAGACGTCCCGAGTCCCGGCGAGAGGTGGAGGGCCCCTGGCTCCATCTGATCGTGGACAGGCCTCGGAAGAGGCGCTCCCGGTGCCGGTGGCCCAGGTGTGCCAAAGATTTGCGCCCTCGATGACCCCAACGACCGTAGGCGCCCGGACGCTGAATTTTCATGTGTCACATGCAATCGTGAGTTTTGCAGGCTTT